AATATCTGCGTCCACACGAGACCGACACAAAACGATGTAGTATACATGCCAGACCAGCATGTGGCGCTGTAATTCTGCCACAGAGATACACTAAAAGCAGAGAAGAAGACTTGGACTATGCGTATACAGCTAAATGCGTCTCCGTGTGGACGGGGCCTAAGTCAGCTTTTGCGCTAATATTGTCAAAACACACAAGGTTTACATAGGCCCCGTCCACACGGAGACGCGTTTAGCTGTATACGCATCAATTTTGTATCGTACAGGCGTTTCGTCCTGATGGATCCGGAGTTTTGGGAGAGTGAAACCGATATTTTTTGAAACCGGGTCCCAGAGTGGATAAATCTGAAAATGCCGCCCTTGTGTTTTCATGTGGACAGCGAATCCGTATATTTTCTGAAACAATGACGTCATCAGCCCACGTCTCGCCCCTAGTCAGACACCGCTACGTCACGTAACAGCAACAAAAACATGAACAAACACTGAACGATTGTCTTTTTAATAAGTAACATTAACACAGGTTAATAAATGTATTGGTGGTTTCGTGTGGACGCAGATATTTCTTGAGACCAGGTGAAAAAAAAAGATCGGATAGGGAAAGCGCTGGCTTCATGTGGACGTAGCCATAGACTCAGTTGGTTATGTCTAAAATGAAAGTAAACAGTTGAGAGAAATTCGGATACGTGCAGGTCTTAGGGACAGTACTAAACATGCTGCCGACTGTCATTAACGGGATAGTTCACCCTAAAATTTTATTTCTGTCGTTATTTACTCACTCACATGGGGTGCCAAAACTGTATTTATTTCTTTATTGTGCTGAACACAAAAGAAGATATTTTGAAAAACGTGGGTAACCAAACAGTTGCTGGTCCACATTGAATTTGATAGTAGGAAAAATACTATGAAAGTCACTGGACCAACAACTCTTTCACGTTCTTCAAAATAACATTTAAGTTCAGCAGAAGAAAGAAACTCGTTCAGGTTTAAAACAACTTTTGAGTGAGTAAATGATGGTATAAAAATAAAACACTGACAGAAATGACAGAATTTTTATTTTTGGGTGAACTATTCCTTTATTAATAAAACAAAACACAAAGAGAAAAATCACTCGCTACTCTTGACTAAAGAACTTTAATACAGTTGCTTTGCTTTAACAATAATAATAATAATCATAATAATACATCTATATAGTGTTTTATTTTTATATTTGTTCATTCAATTTCTTGAATGCTCCTGCTGAATATTGTAGCTGAAAATAAAGCACTGTTTTATCTGTATATTATGTGTATTTAATGTAATGTGTATCTTTGTTCTTATTTTTTAATAACAAAGATTAAATAATGAAATCTTCGCCCACCTTAGCCAAAAAAATCCGCCATTCTTTTTTATATTTTGTTACCTTGAAATGCTTTGTCTTTATAATAGGAAAATTAGTTTGGCTGTAATGCTCAGACAACTTGCAAAATTGTAAAACCAACATGACAGAGAATCGTGATAAAATCGTGAATCGTGATATTATGAAAAAAAATTGATATATGATATTTTTGCCATATCGCCCACCCCTAGTTCGGCTACATCAGAAAGTTTTTCAGTTATGAGGAGAATCTGGCTCCGATCTTTAGTGGCACAGGACAGATTCTCAGATCTTTCTTTACTGCACATAGAGAACAATTTGACTGAAAAAAAGGTATGTTTTTCTTTTTTTTTATGTCGAATATATGTTATATAAATATATGAAATGTAGAACATATAAAAAAAAAGTGTCCGTGGCTCGTCTGCCAGTGGGTGCCCCCCAAGCATAAAAGTTAAACTCCGCCTATACTAGACCTGGATGTTTACATCTTCAAGCACACACACACACACACACAAATGAAAGGCAGGACTTTATTTTCTTTAGCAAACCTGTCAGGAGCTGCACATAGAGGACCATTGTATGTTACTTGTGTGCATTTATTAACATAAACTAGGCCCCTGCCAACAGAAACCACAAACATTAATTTAAAAAGTCACTAGACTGAGGGCTCAGACATTAACCAGTGAACAAGGCAAAACTGCCACTGAAAGCACCAAAAATTCCACATGTATTTGAAATGTGATACATATGTATCTATACATACACACAGTACCATTCTAAGATTTTGGTTCGGTAAGATTTGGTGACGATGTTTTGAAAGAATTTATCAGGATTATTTGATTTATAGAAAGTTTAAAAGAACAACATTTGCTTAAAATAGATAAATTTGTAAGAGTATACATGTCTTTAAAGTAAATGTACAAATTTTGATGTTTCTATGAAATTTGGAATTTAATGAAAAAATGTGTTCGACCCCCAACTTTTGAACTGTAGAGTATATAAAATAAACAAATTGTTGTTTGCCTTATGATATCTATTTACAGTTACCCATGTATTTGATATTAATTTGATTTTACAGTCATAATAATGAAATTATGAGCATATATTTCAAATTAGAGCAAATTTCAAAAAGTATTTGATATAAATTGACAGCATCCTGTGCATTTTATGTTTAGAAAAACAAATATAGTCTACAGAATACAAGTTATAAAATCAAAAAGGTAAAAATATTGGCCTCTTAATAAAAAGGTTCATTTGCTGGGCATGTGCAGAAATTGTGTATTTATCAAGTTTGTGAACTCTTACAAAATGTACATTGACAATACCATGGTATTGTGATGGTCTCAGATATTAATACCATGGTACTTTTAATATTTATTGTGTTACACGCAATGCTTGCTAAATTCATATACTGTGACATTTATATGATACACCAGGGTATTTCAAAGAATATCATAGTATTTTGTCCAAAAACATAACTAGAATGATTTGGTGGATTGCTGGCCAGTTGGAATCAATAAATTGATTCAGGACTGATGAATGTATCAGGATTTGCTCTTACCTGACTGGAGGGATTTGGCCCTTCCAACCGAATGCGTCTTTCCATTGGTCTGAAGGGAGGCCGAGCGGGTCATGTGACTCCTTGCCTGTGTGGGGATTGGTTCAAAGTCAGGGTCAAGGTCCAGGATCAGCTGATTGAGCTGTTCGATTGACTGATCAACATCCAAAGCCAGTGTCGCAAACTCATCATCCTTGTCTGGCTCAGACTGCGTCTCCGGAAAGCCATTGTCTGGTAATGAAGGTTTGCTTGCACCTTTTTGGAGCTCCATCTCCTCTCTGTGTTCCAGTCTGTCTGATGGAGTGTGCATGTAAGACGTGGACTGTTGCTGTTTTACCCATATATGTGTGTGATATCCAGAAGGTACTGAAGTGTGTAAGAGTGTGTTTGAGGAATTCACATCTCTAAATATGGCAGGAGGAGCTTCACTTTGACAATCTGATTGGACAGAGTTCTGACATTCACCTGAAGACAAGCCAGACATTTCCTTTGAAGACAGTGTGTCTTTAGAGTCTAAAACAGCAGCATTCGGAGCGATTATGTCTTCGTCATCATCTATAATATCCGTCTCTCGTTCTATAAACATTGTTTGACCATTTAAATGACTGGAATGATCAAAAGTAGCTTGATTGGCTTTAGGGTCACGTCTCGTGACGCCTGGAGAAGCTTGTTCCTCCTCCATTCTGAGCCCAGGGATCACTCTGGGGAGCTGGGGATGCTCCTCAGAGCCGTAGCTGATTGGGAGCCCAGAGGTTTGTCCTCCAGTCCACTGGGAGGAGCTGGAGAGTCCAGAGTCACTGCTCAGAGAGCGTGTGCCTTCTTTTTGCTTGGCTGTGGAAGAAAGAACGAAAAGTAAGTACAATCAGTAGAGAATTAGTTGACCTCTACAATTTGGAACTCATTTAGGACTTATGGTGCGTTCCAGTGCTCCTAAAAAGTTCATATTTATGAGTTAAGAAGATGGAATTATTATGTCAGGTGTGTTCAGATCACTTTGAAATGAGCAAAACGAAGCTAAAATTTATAGCAAAGTTTTTTTATTTCACTTTACTTCTACAAAATCATAAATAAAGAATATGTATTAGGTGTGCTTTTGCTTTTTTATGTTCTTACTAAATTTGTGAAGGTGCTGTAAACGAAATAGTTATATATTTATCAAAAATGTACAAAACCATCAAAATTGTCTACTATTGTATAATGCCATTTTTTACATTTTATTGATACTAATGATTTCATACATTTCAGCAAATTTAACATCAAAACATATCCTGAATTTACGGTGTCCACCATGTTTTCTTACTGACATGCCCCTAACTTTTATTGTTTTTATGACATTGGGGTGGCATTTACCAGTTTACATAGATACAACCTTTTCAAATATAATTTATATATTTATAAATATGTCTAGCCTATATAATTTATACTGACACCTGTTGGTGTGGATGAAGCATCATGCAAAAGCAAAGTGCAGATTTTAGAGAGTCGTATTTGGCATCCATGACCTCTGATATGTAAAAGTACTTCATTTCAAACAAGTTTGTTAAAATTACTACCCATTTCTTTATGTATAACAATTTTAAAGTGTAAAAAGTTACCATGGTGAGTGTGACACATAAGTGTTGAAAACAAAGTCACACCTGTGGCCCCTTATCTTCACCCACTCCTCCTACATTCAGTTGTGTGTGTTATAAGTCAATGTTAACACGCCTCTAACGAGTTGCAGACACCTTAGTCACACTAATCACACAAACACACAGGTACACAGACCTAGATATGTCTTTGTGTGGCCGTTGTGTGTGTTCTAGCTAAGACACATCAGTCAGCCGGCAGCAGCTGAACACAGATCGCAGCAGATAGCGTCATGTGTCATGACACACTCAGAGTCTCGCAGCAATGATCATGACTGATAACACATATCTACTGTTCAACATGAAGCCAGAAGGCAGCATCACACATGCAGGCTTGTACAAACACACGCAAACACTGATATTTAACATCACGCCACACTCTATGATCATTTTTGACAATAGAGTGCAGCAGAGATTATATGTTTTTATAGGTAAAACCCCAAAAACGAGTAGGCATTTTAGCACTTCTAGTTTTATCAGTGGGTTTGAGTTTTTCTCAATGGATATTGAAATAAAATTTTGCTAAAAATAAAGGTTTTGTTTAACACAATCTCAAGATATTCTCAGATAACACAACATCCTACACCTTGTTGTGTTAATCATGCTCTTACAAACTATTCTAACTCAAACTTTCAGGAAAAATACTTTTAAACAAACACTGAAAGAGTTGTCGGAAACTTAATGGCGGTGGCGCTGAAATCATGCGACCATGGTGTAGTTCTAGCCTATGTTTAGCTTTTACCTTCTGGTATTTAGGCTTCAAAATTCATTCAAGTTGTGTTTATTTGTGAAGATTAACACGATGATCATAACGTCTATGAATCATAAACTTTTGTTGGTCATGGAGATTATTTTCTGAAATAATCAAAAATCCAATGGAAAAATCCTATTGGGTTCTTGTTAAGAAAACCAGTGTGAAAATACGTCATCACTGCAGCACTCTATAGACACTATAGGTATATATTATGTAAAAATGGTGTTTTGTCAACCAGAAATAATCCTATCACACATACAAACTTTATACTGTCTTTAACTACTATGTACTAACATTTAAATTAATAAATTGATACAATTGTGTACATACATGCTTTTTATATTTAAAAAAACCACCTGATGTAATTATATCTGTAATTAATTTCTGTAACTACTCTGTTTATCCTACCCCTTAAACCACCCTTAGCACTAACCACACCACAAAACCTGTCGCTAACCTTAACCGTGTCACCTCAATAGCGACAAACGTGTTATGCATTACAATATGAACACATTAAGTACATTGTATATATTTTTTGATGCAAGTACATGTTACGTAAAGACACCTAATATAAACTGGGATTGATCCCAATGGCAAAACTGGTATGTCAACTGGTGAAAAACACAGACCTTTTTAACTAAACCAGTAAAGCTTACCTAGTCTCAAGAGACTGAAATCCAAATACCAGGCATGCATGATAAAACGCCACAGCTGGCAACTCTCTCACACACTCACACACTCACTCACTCACACACACACACACACACACACACACACACACACACGCATATAAACACACACCCAACAACTGAGATGCAATAGTCATCATACTATCAAACGAACTTTATCATAATCTAAAATAAATATTTAATAGACCACTTGATCAAATGACAACAAACTTGACTTTGACTTTGCAACTAACAAAAAGTCCACATTATAAATTAGTAAAAGAGCAACATACTATTTCTTCATATTCTGCCCAAAAATGTTTTAGCCAAGTGCCTTAAAGGGGTCATATGATGCGATTTCATTTTTTCCTTTCTCTTTAGAGTGTTACAAGCTCTTGGTGCATAAAGAAGATCTGTAAAGTTGCAAAGACTAAAGTCTAAAATCCAAAGAGATATTCTTTATAAAAGTTAAGAGTTAGCCACACCTACCTAAAACGGCTCGTTCGAACACGCCCCCACATACCTACCTCACTATGTGGTGTGGAAAATAATGTTTTTTTTTTAACTTTAAACCGCATAAACACATTTCATTACACCAAATACACAAAATAATGTTCTTTTTAGCAGCATCATATGACCCCTTTAAGACTGCATAAAACATCAAATGCAATACCTGAGACTTCTTGTTTCTCTCAAAAGTACTTTAAAAGTGACCTATGCTGCAACTTTTCTTGATAAATCAAGCACAACTGCATTCGTTTATCACAAGAGCTTTCAACAACTCACAAAATAAATCAAGCGTGTTGCTGCTGAAAGTATATCCCACCACCCTGCACCGCTTCAAAAATGCACGTAGCGTCACAAACCTAATGCTTTCCAGAAACATCCTCTCGAATCAGACCCCAAAGGTATCTGAGATGACTTTGACCATGGAAACTATGACGAAGAGTAAAAAGACATCTGACAGAGTCACAAGTGAGAAAGAGAGCCTCTACAATACAGAAAAAAAGAAAAAACAAACAACACTTCTTGAATGAATAAAGAAAGAGGTGAAAAAGGGAAGGAAAGAGGCAAGCGGACCTGACCGTGTTTATCCTGCAGGCGTCTGTGCCCATTTTGTCCTGCTCTCTCTTTTTCTCCTTCTCTCCTCATGCAGTTTTAAAAAGACAGGCAGCTTGCATTTTTTCCCATAAGGTGATAACAGCTCCCCTGGGTCTCTTTTTCTTTCCTCTTCTTTTTTTTCTTTCTCTCAGTCAATCTCTTTCCTCCCTTTCCCCTGTTTTCCCTCCTCCTTTTCCTCTTACAGTACTGCTCGCTCTCGCTCTCCCTCTCTCTCTCTCTCTACCTCCACACAAGGTAACCCCTTTCAGGTGCCCCTCCTGGGTGTACGGGAAAATCCTGGCTTGGGAAGCATTATTCCGCTCGAGACAGCCAATGCTCCTCGGAATACAGCTGTACACACACACATACGCTTGTTGTAGAGCGCGAACGGACGCTCTGAGGACCTTGAGCCCTCCAAATATGGAGCGGGGAATGTAAACACAAAGGCGGAGTTATGTGTGGGTGGAGAGACAGAGCGCAAAAGAGACAGAGTGAGAGATTAGGGAGGTATTGGTATAGTAAAGAACAAGAGTAGCAGGTAAAAAGAAACTCACAATGAGGAAAGAGATTGAAAGAAGTGAGAGAAGATAACGATAAAAGAAAGATAACGAGAGAGAGAGAGAAAAAAAGCATGCAACTTTTAGTCATTTGGCAGCAGAATATTCCTTCAGACAGTTTGTCGCTACGACTGGCAATAATTACAGACATACAGTGTGTGTTTGTGAGCGTGTGTAATTCTATATTTGAGTTTATGTATAGTAAATTGTAAAGGCTGTTTGTGCTCCAACCATGAGGTATCTCTAAATTACATGGCTGCTCGAGACGGAATCACACAACCAGATGTGCATCAAGCCTCAGTCCCATATGACACACACACGCACACACACATTAAGCTGTTGGGATTGATTTTTTGCAGTTGTGCACAGAAACTCCCAACCTTTAAATATCTGGCCCTGGAATTTCCGATTCTTGTGCATTGCCCTAGCCTAGACTATGTGCAGAAGTGAAGGGTAAACATAACAAGTGCAACTTATTTGTTCCCTGATCACTGAACTATAACTGGACAAGGAGAACAAAGTTCAATTTTGTGGAGTTAAACACTCACTATGTTCTACTCCTTGAAGCAATTTACTTCTGCATAATTTTGTGTATAGTGGAAGGTGGGGTAAGATGTGCCAGTGGTGTAAGTTGAGCCACCCTGAATATTGGTATCAAAATAGCCTACTGTTCAAAAGTTTGGGGTCAGTAAGATTTTCCTTTGAGAAAGAATGATAGTAAATACATTTACAGTATAATTTTTATAAATATTTCAAATAAATGCTTTTTTTTATTTCATCAAAGAACACTGAGGAAAAAAATGCATCATGTTTCCACAAAAACATTAAGCATCACAACAGTTTTTTTCACAACCATGATTTCTGAAGGATCATGTGACACTGAAGACTGGAGTAATGGCTGCTGAAAATTCAGCTGTGCCATCACAGGAATAAAAGACAATTTAAACTACATTCAAAATGAAAATTAGAATAATTAGAAAATGAGAAAAAATTGAAAAATATTTCACTTTTTTAACTGTACTTTTGATCAAATAAATGCAGCCTTGGTGAGGATTAGATACTTTTTTCAAAAAACATTAAAACATTTTAGAGACCCCAAACTTTCAAAAAGTAGTTTACCATATCCATAATTTTTTTAAGAAAAAAAGAGAGATTTTTACATTCTAAATGCATTTTTTATTATTTTTAAATTATATATATATATATATGTAAATGATGTATACTGAAATAAATGCTTACTTACGATTGGTGTCAACCCTGTTATCATCAAATTTTCCCTCTTTCAAGTGACAAACTACTGCCAAAATAACCAAAACGTTGTTATAATGGCATAAAATTAAATTGTCATTAAAATCATCCCTGCACGACATTAAGACAATGATTTTTTGCAATACAATCTTAAAATGTCAACTCTGTTACCTTGATTTTAAATAGTAAATATCTGATGACTGAAAAGTGGATATGTGTAAAGATATCATCATTGAAAGCACATTGTAGTTTCAAAATCTTCGGCACAAGACTGAATTGTACTAAAATCAAGCTGAATTGATCAACGGTCAACCCCGTTACTGTTAAACATGTTACCTTTCAGAAGGCATACTTATATCTCAATGAAGATTGCTTTACATATCACCTTATTAAGACTGGAAAATGGATACATTACAAACAATCCAAATACTAAAATACTATTATGGTTGCCATCACTGATATACCATTCAGCACATTTGTTTCACCTCTGTCTTACTTCTCCTTGCCTAGAAGGCAACTCAAACTGCTACTAAACATTAGTCCACTCGTTAGTCTGGCCCTTGAAAAACAAATGAGTCATTTGGGTCAGTTATGTCTGAGCTCCATCTCTCTGCTTTGATATCCTGACTCGCTCTACTCGACAAAACATCATTTAGTTTGAGCAGCTCTGTCTTACTACAGTTCATTTAGTTCAGCAACCTTAACATTTACAGTAATTACAAACCCTCAAGGAAAACAGCCAGGGCAACAGTGCTGAGTACTGTGGCGATACCATGGTAACTGGCAGGCCTGGTTTGCAGCTCATTATGGTCTGGAGGCCTAAGGCCAAACAAGATTAGATTAGGGTCAAAAACAAGAACCTTACTATTATTGTAGGAGGTAAAGTTTTCCATTCATTCTGAACAGTCCCACACAGTCTCATGTTCCAATTAACCTCAGCAAACAGTGCCCAGACTTAATAACAGTATTAGAGGTAAAGCGTGTTTCCTGTAGCAGACCAACTTGACAATTACTAGACCATTACGAGCCTTCATGTCTCAGAAAACTATTCTTTGCAACCTGAAGTAAACACTGCTTACATGTGCATTCATGCTTTTGTTTTCTATCCTAAAATAAATCCCACATTCCCATGGTTTCACCACTCAAGTCCCACAAGAGGCATATGAAGTACTATAAAACATGTCTCGAATTAGTTAGTGAATGCAAAGCTAGATTTAGTGTGCTTGCAGTATGTTAATAAAGATATAGTAAAGACTAGTGTATGCAATATAAAACTAAATGTGATTAATTGAGAGACATGTTTCTGTATAAATTATGTGGTGGATTTAAAATCTACATTACTGTTGACTAGTGATAATCTAGTATAATAAGACAATATTTAGTCTTTTTTTAAATCTGTATGGGCTAATATTTATAATCACATTGCAAATTAGCAGAACTTTTCCCTAGTAATATTCTAAAACGGACCAACACTTGTGAATTTTAGGTAAATATTGTGAAAATTAATTTTTATTTCAGCAATTTAGCTCACATCTCATTTGCTATATGTCATATACTGTATAGTGTAGAGACTGAGGTTAATTGTCTTATGGGACATTGTCACAAGGGCTAAATCTCAGTAAAAATATAACGATTTGGGTTAATGGTCTTGTTGTTTTAAACATGAAAGACCTTTTTAAAATTAGAATTTTGAGTGAATTCTCTATTTCAATCTAAAATTCTAATATCATCACTGTTGTACACATTTTCACAATAAAACAAAATAATAAATCACAAAGTGATTTATTAAGTGATGACTGTCATGTTTTAAAAGTTCTGTTGGCTACAACAATAATCTGATACTTTTTTACAGTTTCATATACGTATCATTTTGCTCTTCATAATCGGCAATTAAATTGCCATGACACAACTTTATAAAACATTACATATTTCAATATTTTATTACAATATATTACAATATAATTCAAAAGTTTGGGATCAGTAAGACTCTTTAATGTTTTTGAAACACAGGGTTTCTGCAGGATTTTTAAGCTCAAATTTAAGACTTTTTAAGACCTTTTTTAAGACCTGCACAAATAAAATTAATACCATATGAGCGGGGTAGGGCAATGTAGTACCATATTAAACTGTAAAATTACTGTAAAAAGCATAATTCACAGTTCAGATACAAATTTTCACAAAAACAAAGTTTTCTAAAATGAGAAACTTTACATTTCAGCCTTTAAACCATTGTTAAGAAAATGGATGAGTCAAAATTATTAATTATTATATTAATTTAAACAATTATTATCAATAAATTATTACATAAATTAAACAACATAAATTCGGGGTGTTCGATATTGACAAAACATTATATCGTGATAATATTCTGGGATTTTATTGATAACGATAATTAGGCGATATTTTGCTGAGTGTGTTATTGTGCTAATATAAAGTTATACATTTTCTGCCCCATATCTTAAATGATGTGATAATTCTTAATGCATTTTAATAGACTGATTCATGCAGTGAAAGAATGCACTCTATCTGAGGAACATTAAATACTTTAACCTGCAATTAAAAATGCATAAATAATGTTTTGATATTTTAAACATAAAACATTGAAAGCTGATGTTTGAAATTATTGAAAAAAATGAAAAGGTACCTTAAATGTGAAATTAAAACCGCCAGTAGGTGGCAGCAAGTCACTGTTAAGTGAATCATTGCGTTTGAAACGAATCATTTAAACGGGTGATTCATTCAGGAACAAAACAGCGCCCTGTTGCTCAGAGACGCAAAACAGCGCTGTTGCTGTGTTTGAAATGATTTTTGTTGGAGAAATAGAG